ATAAAAAGTTTCCTCATATGTAAACATATTGAGTACCTCAGGGGTGTTGTGAGGATACAATGAGATAAGATCTGTAAAAATATTTGAAACAGTACTTGGGACAGTTAGTGCTCAAGAAAAGTTAGCTACCATCAGCATCTTCATTATTATACTACCTCCTCTAAATATCCTACATGCTGGGTCCCATGTGTCTGTTACAGGAAAATAAGAGGATGTTTTGAAGGAGGTCCCTTCAGAACCTTACACCAAACCCCAAAGACTAGGTTTCTATAATTCTTTTTCTTCCATGACATCTTCTGGGCTGTACCTTGCAAGGCCATCCAGTATGCAAGGGCACTTGAGCTTCTTGCTGACTCTGAGTGTATGTGTGAAGGTGGGGAGCTGGGTTTGAGGAGGGCAGCACTGTGTAGGGGTGAGAAAGGAAGCAAAATATAAAGGGCTTTCAGAGCACATAGTTGTAATAGTAGTAGGTAGCACCTACCGACACTCTGACAACCCCCAAATTCCCGGAATGCATTGGCAGCATAAACAGTTATCACCAACACATTCCTAAGCCTCCCCTGGGTTACTCCACATGGCCCAGAAATTTGGATTGCTTCCTCACTAAATACAGAATCAGAGAGCACATAGTATTATGGTTCAATTAAGCGTATCTTTATATTGAAAGCAATTACTGTTTACTGAGGTCCAACTTTACAACAGGAAATATGCTGGGCTTTCATAAATACATAGCTCAATGAAATAATCACAGTAACTGCAAGATAGGTATTACATCTGTATTTTCATAAATGTGGTAGTACATACAACAAATCTGTTACACAGCTACTAAATGTCAGAATAAAATTTTAGAAACAGTCTTTTCAATGTAGGGTCTAGGCCTCTTTCTACTGTCATGCCAATTATATGTAACAGAACTTCATGCTAGTCTGTGGATATAAGATAACAGCCATACAGATGATGGAAGACAGAATTCAAGGTCTAGGTGGCAGGGCATTAGGTTATAGGTTCAAGGTTAGAAAGGTCAGATGTGAAATACTTTTTGAAAAAAACTAATCATTATCTAAACAATACTACAACCTTATTTAAAAAAAGTGTCTGGAAAACTATGCTAAAATGTTAACTGCGATTACCTCTGGCAGAATATCATTTTCCACAAACATAAAACATCTATTCAGTTTTTTATTCTACTTCAATTCCTCTGCTTAAAATAGCAGCCATTCTAAGTATTTTGAATAAAATTCAAACAGATTCCAAGCGTTAAACTGTTACAGTGTGTTCACTACATGCAGCTCTAATAAGCACTAGCTGTATAAAAGTCAAACAAGACAACTCTTGCCCTCAAGCAGTTCACAGTCTACTGGGGCGCACGAAGCTTCCAACAAACAACTACAGTCTAACACGGTAAGAGCGACGCTGAAGATATGGAAAGGGAAGCAGGATGGCTGAAGATGAGGCTGGAAAGGTAGACTAGCACCTTAAATGGCACACCAAGAATTTGGACCTAATTATACATGCACTGGAGTTACATTTAAGATTTGAAGTGGAAAACCATAAATATATTTACATTTTAGAATGTGGATTAAAAGAGGGGAAATCAAGAATCAGAGGGATCAGTAGGAAGGTTTTGCAATTGTCCAGGTTGGAATTCACTTCTGGTCAAACATTTATTGGACATTGATAATGTGCCAAGAACAGGTCAACCCAAACCCAATCCACTGCTGTGTGAGTTGACTGACTCATAGTGACCATGGTTTTGGTCCTCAATAGTACAGTCTGGGGCATGGGGGAAGGGTGCACAGATAGGTGATTTCATAGTAATGTTGAGGGTTAGACAGAGAATAGTGGCAGTAGAGATGAAGAGACGGAACAAATTCAAAAGATATTTCAGGCATAGAAAAATAAGGCTTGGTAACTGATCAAATTCAGGACCTGAGGGCAAGATAAGGATCAAGGATGCTTCCTAGGTTTCAAGCTTAGGCTTGATGTCATTAATCAAAATAGGGAATACATGAATGAGGAGTTGACACCACCTGCTACCCTCCCTCATTTCTTCTACAGACATCATAAATGAGATAAGGTCCCCAAAGGAAAAGCATTATAAATCCAAAGTAGCATTATCACGATCATCATCTACTGGGCATGCATCTGGAGGGAAAAAAGTTGACTCTATCAGCATATTATAGTACATGTGGAGGTACCCATTAACATTATCAGAAGAAATCACTTCAGTGATCTAGGAGAAAAAAACTTAGGAGAAACTTCTTAAAGGTACTGTTAATTAATAACTATAGATGTGTTGTTATCTTACGGCCTTCTAACTTAAAACACCCAAAGAAGAAACACCAACAACGCACTCCCAAAGTGTGAGGGATGTTAAGTCTATTTACTATTTGTTCTTAATTTTAGAGAGACGATATGACATCCTAGTTAATGTTCAAATGTATGGAAAGCAGTATAGTGGAAGACTTGACCTGAGATCCAATCAATTCAGGGACCTTCCTGGGGAGGGATGGAGCCTCAGGAAGTGGGCAACACAGTGGTCTCCATGTTGCACCTGCCTGCACACCGCCCAGGGACTCATTCTAGTAGAGATCTTGTAGAATTGCAAGGACTTCTATAAAAAGACTCCCTAGTCCCCTCTGCCCCAGGATATTAAACACACAGATTAACATTTTAATTAGAACTAGAGGGAAACCTCTTAAAAAAGACAGTTTTCAAGAAATTAAAAAGGCATATGACTTTACAGGGAAAGACATAAGACTTGATAACCTAAGCAGCTACCTATCTATACCTGACTATACATATGTATATGTGTGTATATATATATATATATACACATACATACATATATATGCAGTTATATGCTTTCAGTATAATTACCTTCATCTGAAATTTGTATCATACTTTTCTAGCTTTGAAATGAATTTCCATAAAGTCACAGAATGATAAATAGATTATTAAGGGGGATTTAAAATTACAACTTTACCTTATAAAACCTGCTGCTATCAAGTTGATTCTGACTCATGGCAACCCCATCAACTACTAAGCTCTCCACTGATTGCTACAAGTCAGTGAGAATATGGGGAAGGTCTGATCCAGGCAGAGGACTTTATCTTTTATGTTAGATACTTCGTGATATCTTTTAAGAGGAAAATCTAGCATCTATCAAAATTTTAAACGTGTATAACCTTTGACCCAGCAATTCTTCCTCAAGAAATACACACTCATTAGGCAAGGATATGTGTACAAGGCTGTTCAATGCAAACAGCATTTAATATTATTGAAATATTAAAGCCAACCTATATGTTTATTAACAGAGGAATTGCTAAAATATGGCACATTCATATTATGGAATACGATGGATGCAGTCCTTAAAAAGAATGAAACAGCAAAGGTACTAATATGAAAGAGTGTCTATGATAGATTATCGAGAAAAAGAAGGCTGGAGATCCTTAAGCTTACATAGGATGATCCCTTTTTATTTAAAAAAAAAAAAATCAAAACCATACAAATGTGGGTCATAGAGGAGCATGTCAGAAAGAATATACACCAAACTTTTAACACTTGTTATTTTGGCAGTGGGACTGTGTGGTGGAGAAACTTTGATTTTTTTACTTTACACACCTCTGAAAGGTTTGAAATGATTATAATGAAAACTTTTATAATTGTAAAATAACCAATGCTTTAAAAAGGGTTCTACAATGTTTTTGAAAGGCACATCCAATCTTCTTTTTTATGAGTTAATCTGTGAGATGAATTCATCATAGACTTCATCTTTAGATCTTAAACTGGTAGCGCTCTGGAGCTTTCAGAATCTGGAAAATCTTAATAGTTTGTTTTGTTACCATTGAATAACAAACATATGGCCAACCAAAATGGGTACAAAAGAACCCAATAATTGAGTGTCTAGGATATGGGTATAATTCAATATTTAACTTAGGTGTCTACCAAAGATTTACATCTTTGATGGAGTTGTTGAGAAAAATAATTTCAGAGCTAGGGAGTCCCACTGATGGGAAGTGGGAAGAAATTGTATTTTATTCTCTGTGGTGCTGAAATAAAATTTAAGACTAAATGTCAGTTTAACCAGAAAGCAAAAACAAAGAGACAAACCTCAACAGGAACTGAAAACCAAATTTAAGCCCCAAACTTTGTCCATCAGAAAAAGACAACTTGTGCTAAGTTACTCATATACCAATGGCAAAAATGGAGGGGGGCGGCGGTAGACTAAAAGTAAAAGAACGGGGACAGAATTTCTAAAGACAATCCAAGTGCAGCTTTCAAAGTTCAGTGTTTGATCTCTACAGTGATAAATGGATCAGAGTACAATGTGAATGTCAGATACAGCAAAGTGCCTGTGATGATTTTCATAACCCTTTTCAAATTTTCTCTGAAGCCAAGAGCGCAAATTAACACTTCCTTTCCTCCTTCTCTAAGGATCCAGCCTGGGAAGATGTCCCAGGCTTCACAGTGATTTCCGCAGTCAACGAGCAGAGGGGAGCCTGAGACACACACGCTTTCCCTTTAGAGGCCGCTACAGCCAGCAGCTGGGCAAATCTGTAGAGCGGAGAGCAGTGACCAGTCGGCTACTGGAAATCCGCCCAAACTCAAATAAAACACACCTCCCAAGGCCAAACCGAGGCGGAGGCGGGGTACTGGTGAGGAAAAAAAGGAAAAAGAGCTGCTAATCTCAGGGTTATAATCACACACGCGTGAACCTGACCTGACCCACACTCATTCTATAGACAGGGCAAAGCTGGGAGCTCCAAACGGGAAGACTGACACCAGGAAAACTTCCCCTAGCTGCGGGGAAGGCCAATCCATCCCCTTTCCTCCGCCCCCTAGGACTGCCCGTCTCGCCGGGCCCCGCCCATGGCCCCCTAGCGCCTAGGTATCCTCGAAGCTGCCGGGCCCCCCAGGGTCGGACCAGCGATCCGCTGCACTCCCGGTCAGAGAGAAAGGAATAAAAACCACCCACACCCCAGGGGCACCAAACTCACCCTCAAAACCAACATCCCCAACTCCGCTGTGGCTGCCATCACGGCCCTGCTCCCCTCCGGCAGCAGCCCCCTGGGTCTGGGGAGCAGCCATTTCCCTGCCGAGAAGAAAAAGGGAGGCCCACGGGGCGGGGAGGAGCGTGCGTAGACCAATGGAAACGCGGCTGAAGGCGATCTCCCCATCAGCGCCGAGTTACCTCCAAGCCCACGCGGCGCCGTCACGCTCTGGGCTAATAGGACGCGGCGAGAGGCACTTGATCCCCGCCCCTATCTACTCATGCCACGCCCCTTTCCGGGATGGAGACCGAGGACTACAATTCCCAGCGTGCCTTGGGGGCGCGAGGAGGGGAGGGCTGGACTAGGCGAGGGCGGGCGGGGGTGCGCCCGAGAGTGCCCCGGCGTGTTCACTTAGTTCAGTGAATCAGGACAATGACTGCGCTGCCTGGTTCCCGGTAGCGCGTCGGACGACTCTAAGCAGCCGCTCCCGGGAGAGCTGCGGGCGGCGCAGCCTCGGCGGCGCGGTGTCAACGCCGGGCTCGGGCGCCTCCAGGGCAGACCCTGCCCAGCGCCTGCCACCCGCGCGGAGCCGACGGGCTCTAGCTCTGCAGCCGCTACCCGGGTGCGGTGCATTGTTGTGAGCAGGAGACGGGGCGCGGGGATTACAAAGCCTGAAGACCCTGGAGCCCCTTTAGCCATGTGGATACCTACGGAGCACGAGAAATACGGCGTGGGTGAGTCTCCGCGGAGCCAACTTTTATCCCGCTCTGCCTCGAGCGGGTGCGCATTTCGCGTCCTTGTCCCCGCGCCTCTCTCGCGCCCCGCGGCTGGAAATGCCTAGTCTTGGCATTGCGCAGCGGGTCCCGGGTTTGCCGAGCCAGCCCCGTGCGTAAGTGCCTCGTCCGCCCACCTGCGGGGGGTCTAGCCCGCACCGCCCGCTCGGCGCACCCGGCACCGCTCCCGGAGCGCCAGGACCGCTGGAAGCGCGCGGCCACCCGCCGACTCCCGGCTCTGCCTGCGGAGTTTGGAGTGGCGGCGGGGCGTTTGCGTGTCAAGTTGGAAAGAGGGTGAACGGGGCTCCTCTCCTTCCCCAAAGCGGCGAGGGGACGGCAGTGGGTTGCAGCGATTTGCCAGGGTGTGGAGGGAGACAACAACAACCTTGCGGAGAGAGCAACCGCAAACAGAAGGGAGGCGCAGAACCGTCCCTCAGGCTCGCGTCAACATTCCCGGAGTGCCGAGTGTGGCACAGCCCTCAAAGAGCTGCTGACAGACCGAGCCCGGTCCAAGCCTCAGTCCTCCTCCCACCCCGGTTTTATGGGGTGTGTGTTGGGAGGGGGGAGGTTGGTAAATTTCAACATCCGCGCCGCTGCGCTCTCTGGTCCTTGGAGGGGAGCTGGGTGAGCGCGGTGGGGGTGGTGGCGGGCGGCTGTGGAGTAATAATGGGGTGGGGAATCGGAAAGCCTAGGTCTTCTATGCTGGGAGGCAGTTTTTAGGAAAGGACTACCCTGACTCACACTGGCGTTCAGAGAAAAAGGAACAGGGTAGCGCTCGCTGTTCTGTTCAAAGGTGAACAACAAAGGACATTAATGTTGACTGATGAATACAAGAGTCTCCCTTCCTTTCCCTCCTCCCATTTGAGGCCAATTACAGTTCCCGTTTTTGTTGTTTGATTTCAGCTGGGTCGCCCCTTGACAGTTACTCCTTTTAGGGTTGTGACTATTAAAAAGCGCAGCTTTCTGACAAGCCTGCAGCGGCCAAATGCAATTATAACCTCCCGGAAGATCTAACCCAGAGAAAGCGTTATGGATTTTACTAACAATTTTTATTTCCTATAATGTCCTTTCCTGCCGATTGATGTACTTTTTTTTTTTTTTAATTGGGAGCAGATCTAATGCTTTAGACTATGCATAGATAACCTGCTTATGCTCTAAATTTATTTTGCTGCAATTTAAAAAATCTGGAAAGCCTTTCTAGGGAGTCATAGTCACGGGGGACTTTTTTTTTTCCTAAACTTCTCCTGGGGACAGGATTTGGAGTCCACTGAAAGGGCTTTATAATTAAAGTTATCCCATATTTTACATTAGCTTCCATTCTGGATTGTGACTTGTTAGCAAGACAATAGCTAGTCCTGAACCCACCTTCGGGGTCTTTCCCTCTCTTAAAAGTTCAGGGGTAGCCTTTGCCAGGCACTCTACTGGTAGGAGTGGATCTTGGGTGGTTGTTATTTTCCTTCTCTTGATTCCCTTCTTTTTTGGATAGATTAACTCTTGCTGGGAAAAAGATTTTGCCTTTGCTGAACTGGTGAGGAACGGGAGAGCATTGTCTCCTCACCGGGCTTAACACTTAGTGCAGGAAGTGCAGACCCATTCAGGCGACTCCATCCAGTTTGGAGTCAATCCCAGGTGTTGCTTTCTTCCAAGTGTTAAATTATACAGGTAATTGATGGGATTTATTTTCTTGATTTCTTTATGTGCCAGGTCACAGCTGGGGTGCTGGTATCTATTACGTAGCTCTTCTTTCGCCTTTCTTTACAAGCTGTGGGCAGAGACTTAAAAAACACTCTGGGATTTCCTGGAATGGCAAACTGGATATTATCAGTCAGGTGTTTTGGGTTGCAGCGGACACTTCGGGTTTGGGGGGTTGTGATTTGGCTGTTGAGTAGGGGGAGGTGGGAGGGTCTGCACACATTTCGGAAAAGGAGATTGAGGGGTGCCGGGACTTACTGCTGTCCTACCCATTTCTACACTATCACATATATAGGAATGCTATTCATCTTTTATCATTAATTTTTGAGCATTTGGCTTGTGGAATGCTTTGCTGTTTTTGAGAATCCATCTGTTAGGCGTGTGTGAATGTGTGTATGTGTTGTGAAAATTTTGCTAACATACTTTTGTGTGGACTTTATTTCTCACCATGGAGAGCACTGTTTAGCTGCCTGTGCTGCAAGTTTTTTTTTTTTTTTTTTAACCTTGGTTCGTGTATGTGCTTTTCTCATGTAATTTTTATAAACACCAAAGAAAAGATATTTTATGGGCACAGATGTTTGTTGGCCGGTAGATGTAGTAGTAATTCAGTTTCCTCATTTGTTGAAATAAATCAATTCTTACAACTTTTTTCTTACAACTTACAACTTTCAGGAATACCTGAAATTTCAGTGTAAATTTTATATTTCTGCGGTGACATTTCTTACCCACCATCGTATATGTATGGGATAATTATGTGTCTTTATATATTTATGCTTAAATTTTAAGCAATATACTGTAAACATCGATAAAACTACTTAGATTTTATACCTGTAATAAGATGTATCAGAGATAGAAATTCCTTTTCAAAGCTGATGTGTTGGCATTGTCTCCTCCATTTAATCGAAAATTATCTTAAAACATTGTATGCATAGTGATTCTAGGGGATTAGATAGGTATAGCAGTAAAACTATAGTCCTGAGGGATAGGGAAGCTTGTTTTTTTTAAAAACATACTAGTAGGCACAACGATAGGAGTATTTTATCTTGGGAGATTCTAATTGACTTTACCCCTCTGGCTCCCAGCCTCTGTGTCAAGTGATATCTAAGGTCCTTCCTGATGCTGAATCTGTAGAGTTTTTCCAACAAATGTGTCCTTTGGATAGAAAACATCTCTACTGTGTGGAGATTGCAATGAGAAAGGCACTTTTGCTGTGACATGCCCCCCATGGTTTTTAACTAAGATCAAAGGTAAGCAAAATCTACCTGGCAAGCTACCAGGAAATGAAGTGATGGTTGCTTGCTTTCTTAATCTGTTTGATTCTCTCCCTCCAGTAGGAGCTCCGTGGGCAGTGACTAATGCCCCCTTGATCGTCCCCTCATAAATGTCCTCACAATCACTATCTGCCTCTTGCATTCCCTCATCTGTCATCTCCCCTCCCCAAGGTAGTGGGAATGATTCACAGAGAAAGTTAAGAGCATTGCAAGTATGTTCCTGCATTCATTTGTTCAACAAGCATTTATGCGCAGTGTTTCTAGGTGAGCCAGCGATTCTTGTTGTGCCACAGACTGTACATCTCAAAGCTAGCCAGATGTTTTACGTGTGCGAGCCTGGCTAAGCTTGCCTGGGGAACATGGGATGGATTGATCAGTTCGAAAAGTCCGTGAGCTTTACAAGAAACAAAACTCTCAGAACAAGCTCATCTGAAGGTCACGACTTTCATTTTAGGAACAAAGTATTATAGTATCACTGTATGGTATAGTGAAGGATCACTAAGCTCTTAAGAATATTCGTGACCCTCATTTCTCATGAAGTGATTTTTTAACTCATTGGAGTAGGGATTATGTTTCTTTTTAAAGGCCTTCTCTTCCAGAGGAGAGGCACCTTCTCTTATTTATACAGGATCTTCAGAGTGGCTTTCCCTTGAGAACGGTGGTGGGTGTGGGAGAGAATTCTAAGGCAGTGCACCTTTTCTCTTAGCTGTTTTCAGTTTCCTATTTGTGGTGCCATGATGTGTCTAGATAACATGTGTAGGTAAGTCATGGTGTGCTGCTTGGATTTGTTTGTGGCATTTTGAACCTGGCATGAGAGTCTAAGCTTTAAGTGGGAAGCCAAGAGGACTGATTTATATCTTCATTGAATGGCTTTGCAGACAGTGGGATGGCAACTGATGTCCTTCATCTGGCCTCCTCTGGCAGTAGCCTATAAAAATGTTTCCCTCTCTGGCTCATTCTCCTAAGTGACAATTCTTTCACAAGCGGCCCACGGTAACATAGAGATGTTGCCCGTCCTCTCTGATCTGGTTTTTCCAGAGGCTGTTAACAGTAGGTACTACAAAATAAATGAAAAAATTTTCAGGAAGCATGAGGTTTTGTTGTCTCTAGCTCGACTCCTTACCAAAAGGAGGCTTGATTTTTAGAATCGTCTTTGATATAGTATGTCCAAGCTCTAGCGTAGTGACTGTATGCTGTGAGCATATATGCTGGAACAACATTAGACTCTAAGGAAACCCAGCCAAAATAGTGTAACTATAGCATATTATACCGTGTTTTATAGTTGAAAAATAGTAGTGAAATTATTTTGTTATTTGAATCTACTCTCTGGAGTGGAATGGTAATTTCCGCTTAAGACATGATAAAATAAC